CCCTTGCGATTTCGCCGCCAATGAAATCAGCTACCAATGCCTTTGCGCCCTGTCCTGCTCCGCGGAATTTCAGTACGTACAAAAATCCGTCGTCAGCTTCTGCGATAGCGGGCAGAGAACCGCCCTCGCGTAATGGCATTACATAGCGCATTACCTGTACGTTCCTGATCTCGGGCGCAAATTCCTCAACTGGTTGGGTTAAATTCATCTGGGCTGCTGTTCAAACAAAAATAGTTTTTAAACCAATAGCAACACTATTTACTGGCAGGCATCTTGCTATGTTCAGCCGGTGGGTTAATTTAGTTACCCTAATTGTAATACATGGCTCACAAGGACTACACTTACCTTAACAGGGATTTAAGCTGGCTTAGTTTTAATCATCGCGTATTAATGGAAGCCGGCGATGACACCGTTCCCTTATTCAGCCGAATATCTTTCTTATCCATCTTTTCTTCGAATCTTGACGAGTTCTTCCGTGTTCGAATGCCTTCCATTTATGCGTTCACCAACATTAAGACAAAGAAGCACTCTCTTCGTGAAGAATATCCCAAAGATCTGGCAAAACAGGTAAAGGATATGGTAAGTGTGCAATTGGAGGAATATGGAAGAATACTGACAACGCAAATATTGCCGGCACTGCTTCATAAACACATCCACCTGTACTATAACGAAGACATACGTGAGGAGCATCGTGACCCTTCAAGAGAATATTTCCTGTCGCGGGTATTATCATTCCTGCAACCGGTGATCCTGAGGAAAGATAATCGGTCTGATATTTTTCTCGAGAATAACGCGCTCTATTTTATTGTAGAACTGGAAGCTCCCGACCAGCCCGGTAATATTCAATATGCCATCTGTAATATTCCATCGGAACATTTACCCCGTTTTGTCGATATGCCCCCGATCGATGGCAATAACTATATTCTCTTCCTTGATGACGTCGTAAAATTCTCATTGCCTGAAATTTTTCCCGGATTTTCTGTACATGATAGCTGGAGTGTAAAACTGACAAGAGACGCTGAATTGATCATTGGTGATGAATTTACAGGCGACCTGGCTGATAAAATAGAAAAGCAATTGGAAAAACGGGACGCTGGTCCGGCGACAAGACTATTATTCGATCGGAGGATGCCCGAAACTGCGAGAGAATTCATTCGTCACTATTTTGATCTCAATGAAAAAGAGATGGTACCGGGCGGCTCTTATCATAACCTGAAAGATCTTGCCGATCTTCCAAACCCTTCAAAAGAAAGCCTCACCTATGAGCCCTGGCCAGCAGTTACTCACCCGGGCTTTACACATCACCGATCGATATTCCAGTGCATTGGAGAA